AAGCGAGCCCTAATCGAGTGCATCAGTGCCCAAAGCGTTGTGTTTACAGTATTTTGCGTAGGTGTCGCTAATAGTCACAAGAATTCCGTCTTGTGTACAAGAGTACAGTAATTTCCTCACGCGTATCATAAAGGCCATTTTAACACACATATTCCTCCTTGAATGTGGGTCATCTCAGCACCATCATAGTACAAAGCTAAATCTCAATTCCACAGCGTACAAGTTTGTATAAAAATAAAATAAGAATGGGACATGTGACCCTTTTCAGAAGGAAAGCTGCCCTATGACCCTACACACCTTCCTCGCAAATTTATTTTGACTTCCTACAGTTTTCAATTCACTGCTGTGTTAGTATTCCACGCAATGAAGAACAGTAGATTCAGCACCAAGTTTATTAAAACAAGTTCATCCAATTTTTATCAAGCTTTAAAATTGAATGAGACTGGATATGTTACTAAGTAAATCCTCGATATTTTGAAAGCATTTTGATCAATGCTATCAACACAGCTCAGCCAAAAGCAGAACTATGTGACGTGTAAAATGAATTGCATTACTAATTGAATTTATTCGGAAAATTAATCCACTGGTTTAAGGTTCATGATTCATCAGCACTGAAAAGGTTGGTCCCCTTATTTNTAATTTCCTCACGCGTATCATAAAGGCCATTTTAACACACATATTCCTCCTTGAATGTGGGTCATCTCAGCACCATCATAGTACAAAGCTAAATCTCAATTCCACAGCGTACAAGTTTGTATAAAAATAAAATAAGAATGGGACATGTGACCCTTTTCAGAAGGAAAGCTGCCCTATGACCCTACACACCTTCCTCGCAAATTTATTTTGACTTCCTACAGTTTTCAATTCACTGCTGTGTTAGTATTCCACGCAATGAAGAACAGTAGATTCAGCACCAAGTTTATTAAAACAAGTTCATCCAATTTTTATCAAGCTTTAAAATTGAATGAGACTGGATATGTTACTAAGTAAATCCTCGATATTTTGAAAGCATTTTGATCAATGCTATCAACACAGCTCAGCCAAAAGCAGAACTATGTGACGTGTAAAATGAATTGCATTTGATTAACTTAAATAAGCCTTTTAATTAGGTGACCAAATTCCAAGTACTAAGTAGTCGTGACTTTTCCAACCAGGGGAATAAAAATCTAAGGGATTACCGAAATTTTAACAATACGTATTATGTCCAAGAATCTATCTACAATAAAATTCGAGGGACCAGAAAAACATCCATGTGGAGAGAATTTTTTTTTTGGAGATGACCCTTATAAGAAGGGGAGAGGACTGGCCGGATGGAACCTAATGAAAATTGTTGTACGGAGAAAACCATCATTAAAAAGATCGTTGTAGACAAGTAACCCGTACATAGAAATATACGCCTTCCAACTCCAGGAAAAAAGCTTTTTTTGTCGATGTTTCTATTCCAAGCTTTATTCTAGTCAAGAATAAAAGCGCCCACTCATTCACTGCCAGCATTCACTTCAGTCCACAATGACCATTTGCATGGGTTCTTAATCTTCTTATATATAGTACACTCGTGAGCAAATATAGTACTGTATTTTATACTGACCTGTATCAGTTCCGCCTCCTTCATTCGGGAGACAAAGTCCAAAGCCAACAAGGATAAGAAGAAGTAATTCACATAGCAAAAAATTGGAACACATTTTGACACCCAACTATTATAAAAAAAACACGGAAATTCAGCTATTGAAATAAGCATCACACAAACAAATTTCCAAATTTACTGCAATCATTTTCTCTCTGTATTTAATCCCAAAGAAATCATCACTGGATTTCTCGCCAGATTTTGTTATTCCTGGGAGAAAAACTGACTGTGAGTATGAAACGGGGACAATGAAGCAGCAGGATTCGGGATAGTAGCCAGCGATTGATTTTTTGGTGTAGTCATTGATGGACAGTTTCTATATAGGACGCCATTGCGAACGACCTACTTCCTTACTTCCGAGTTCCCTGCCATCTATACGAGGTATGCATGGGGACGAAAAAAAGGTGGCCCAAGTGAGTGATAGAACTTGCAGCTAGTATAATCAACCGACGCCTGTACCTGTCGCTATTTCCATTGTATTCATTTTTACCCAGCACATTGCACTTGCAACTGCTGCTTCTGCATGCTTGAATCACTCACCACCATCACAAGCTAAAGAAGGATACACAAGGCTACGGATTCTTCGTAATTGCATAAATCAAGCACGCAACAACAGTTTGTAACAAGTCTTCGGAATCAAGGGCATTTCCTGATATTATAATTCTAATGTACAGTACTGTATTTCGAAATTTTCCACAATTTGCATTATTGTATAGGAATAAAATCGTCAAACTTTCATCATTGAAAAACAGCACATGCAGCACTGGTGCATTTCTGATTTTAGAGATAGCTATACATTAATATTGATGATTTTTCTCTCTGACGTAAGGAAAAAAGGAAGCAGGTCTGGATTTCTCGCCGGATATCCTTATTCCTCCCAGCGAAACTGGCAGTAAGTATGAAATAGAAACAATGAACCCACAAGATTCACCATACATCAGATCTGTCCACAACCCTTTTCTCTGCATGACAAATTTTTGGTCCCAGCAGGGAGTTTCCATGGCATATGTAAGGCACTTCTGAATATGCAAGTTATGATACCGCTTGAAGATTCTAAAAAAATGTATGAAGGCACTCATGGTTTTGCAGTCTGACCTGAAAATTTTTCTTATATTGTAAATACTGTATAAAAAGTACTATTTTAGCTTCCAAATATTTTTGTAGCATTAGCAACATATTGCGTGGAATATGCATGCAAAGCTAGTAAACTTTTTATTTTGCTTGCTGCGTGAGGTCATGGCAAAAAACACATATTTAATACCATAATTTAAAACATTTAATTTTAAAACATATAAAACAGTCCCTAACCAATTACATTCTACTATATGCAGGATCCAGGTTATCATAACTATACAGTATCTTGAGTCATTTGATCTATTGAACATGCATTGGCCTCTTAATCCCACCTTATACAGTCCCTGTATATGTGTACAGTATATGTGTTTGCAGGACTCTACTCACCAAGAATCATTGAGTAGATAAGAACCCAAGGTAAACCAATAAGTTTCCTCTGTGTCATGTCTTGAGACTGGCTGAGTGAAGCATTTTTCAAGTCCTTCATGTGTTTCCAGCAACACCCATCAGGAATTAAGATGGCAATTATGAATTGGCATGCAGTGATAAGCAAACAATACAGAGTTGTGCAAAGAACCTCATTTCTGTTACATTAAGTTTCATCATAAAATGCTGACTGATGAAAACCATCTCATAAAAATACATTATTTAAGATTTCAGCAGCTAGGTTACTTGTCAATGTACATACAAGGTTCTATGCATACAGAACCTTTAGTTTTTGTAAAATGACAGCATACAGGCTTCGATAAACAGTAATCCAGTACACAAATTTTATTTTTCAAAGAAAAAATCAGAAACTTAATACTATTGGTGTGTGGTGTCAGATTAAATGTATAGGATGTTCTTAAAAAAAGCATTCAAATAATTCATCAATTCAAAGATCAATTATCTGACAAGATAATCAGATACTGGCCCACTTGAAACCAGATTAATCCCCATTCCAACAAACCTATAAAACCTCATTTCCTGATTTTTTTTTTCAAACTATGACTGCTTCAGTGCTGCAACAACAGATACATTCATTCATCACCACAAAATTGTCATCAACTTCCTCCAGCTGGACATAGCTATTTACGTACTTGCTGTGATTCAAGATGAACAAGTCTGAGTTTTTTGCTGGAATGATTAAAATACAGTTGTTTTCAGACTGCTGAAGCCATGGATGATGACACACCCCCAGGAATGCTGTTAACATTATGCTCTGAATATATTTCTGCTTCCATAACTGACATCGCCATGTAGGATAAGGATCACCAGAAGTATGGAAAAGGCATTGTAACGAAGGAATCATGCTCTGGAATAAATGCGACTGACAGCTAGCCAACAGGAAGATGCAAGTGGCTAACTTTCCAAAATGTATCTCACAATAATGATCAAAGCTCCTGCTTTCTCTTGTGATGTGTGAACATATTTTACATGCACTTAATGGAGTATAAAACAATGAACCATGATCATATAAAAATTGCCATAAGTTTTATCTGCATTTCCTGGCATACACCTTCAATCCAGGAAACATCACTTGCTCTCTAAACTGAATAAACTACTTTATGGATACAGTAATTTTAATAAATTAATATGGATCACAAGAAAATTTGCATGAAAAGTTTAAGGACTCTCTCTGCAACATATTTCATGGGATCAAACAAACAAATTTGTTGCAACTAGAGAAAATTTTGTTGGAGAAAACCTCTGGGAAGACCATTAACTCCTACATGAGTACAGACACAAAAAGATGTTCAACTGAGAACATTGTTGTGGAGAGTATATTTTCACAGTAATGTTCAGCAAAGTACATATCACACCTATTATGTACTAAAACAATTGTTGGAATGCTTCTTTATAGCAGTGATCGATCATAAAAAAACATTGAATGAACTACAACATGAAACACCATGTCATGAATGAATTTTTGTGCGGCGAACATTCCAGAAAATAAAACTAAGGGGCTAACATTGGAAGTGCGAGGTTTATAAGCATTTGGGAGTCCTTTCAGTGAATCCAACCCTCTAAAGGCACAGTTAGAAAAAAACAAAACTACTTCAGGACAGCATTCCTTCTCTGCTCAAGTTGGAACCATAAGCATTTAAAAAACTTGCATTCTGAGAATCATATTTGACCTATGCAATAGCTATGCATGAACCAGGCTCATGTGTGAAAACGAGCTTGCACAAATGCCACACTTCCCAACACAAGTACTCATGCCACAACATATATTTCATGATAGGAAACCTGTGAAAGCTGAAAATGCCCCAGAGATGAAGTTTTGCCAGAAGCAAAAACAGTAATGAAAGCATCAAGACCATGTTTTGAGTTCACTGCTATATTCTTTCTCCTTTTCCAATCCAAACAATAGGAAATGAAGTGTGACTCAAAGAGTTAAACGTGAAGAATTTGCATGCAGTCTCAAACAGATCATCCCTGTGAAATAATTTCTGACCACAATCTGTAAGCCTGTAATCCTGAGGTGAGATTATTACAGCAAACAAAAGACACTGCCATTTGAATCACGGCTTTCAAATACATTCAAACTACAGAATACCTTCACTGATAAAAAAAACTCTTGATTCTGAAAAAATTAGCTGGAGAGAGTTTCAATACAGTAGTTTTCTTCCACCAATCATGACAATGCTGCATGTGAGGTATTCAGGAAAACCCCCCCAACACAAACCCAAACCTCCCAACTAAGAATTTTTTTGATTCTTGTACATACCACTCAACTTGCACCTCCGCAAATATAACCACAAATTGAACCCTTTACTGGGCTTGGATGAAATGAGAACATGCCTGAACAATATTGCACTCTTGAAAAGGTTCTGTTCCAAGAAAACTCAAGAGGAAAATGAGGGCAGCCTTCTTTTGTTCTGTTCTTAAGTGATTCACTCAAAGAGTTTCGATGCGCTTCTTCAGATCCTCAAGTTCACGCCACATTTCATTTGGCAAATCCTTGCCCACTTGTTCCTTGTAATACTTGGTCATTTCCGTCACCTTAAAGAAACCAATGTGACTTATAAACCCCTTAGAAGTAAATGCAAACCACAGATTAATTTCCAATTGGTAGGTTACAACAGAACAACATTTGGGGAAAACCTCCAAAACACAGACAAGAATGCACCCATGACCAATTTTATTATTGAATCCCATCTTTTTTGCTTGAATAACCTTTTCTTTTTCCACATATTCCATTGAGTTGAAAGGACAGGGGCATTGAGAGATTAAGTAGTCTTTATTGTTATTTGAGAGATTAGATTATTTTGGAAATAACATAATCTCTTTCACAATAGGAAGGCTATAGACATCATGAATACATTTTCTTGTAGTTTGAGATCAGCAGAAACTACATTTAAGGTCCACAGTAGGACTGTTTTGACCATTGTATTCAAATAAAAAAGTTACTGAAGAAATACAAGGATTCAAATCCAAGAAAGATTAGATCAAGTAGCATGGCCAACTATGAGAAATTCCAGCAGGTACTCTTCTCCCATTATTGGAAAAATTAACTCAACTTATGAATTTCATAAATAGAAAAACATTAACTCAACTTATGAATTTCATAAATAGAAAAATATTAACTCAACTTATGAATTTCATCAATGGAAAAAAATGAACACATTTCCTTAAGAACTAACCTCATCCAGCCAGAAGTCCTTGGGCAGATGGAAAAGCTCCTTCATGTCTGGAGCTGGGCTCAGACCAGCAATGTTGATGCTTCCTTCTTTGGGAATGATGCCAATGGCAGACTTTTCTCCAATGTCTTCACCATCCAAACGGCGCAGAATCCAGTCTAGAACTCTCAAGTTCTCACCAAAACCAGGCCACAAGAACTTGCCCTACACAGAAAGTCATTCAGTCATTTTCTTCACCAAATTTAAGTTGCATTGATCTCATCAAACCTCAGCACTCTTGCGGAACCAGTTGACATGGAAAATTTTCGGAAGCTTGTGCTTGGGATCCTTGCCAAGGTCAAGCCAATGCTGCACATAATCACCGAAGTTGTACCCAAAGAATGGACGCATGGCAAATGGATCATGCATGATTTGCCTACCCTGTTGAAAAGAGGCAAAGCATCTCAAACTTCCAAAATAATGGTGGGATTACGTACATTTTCAAATAAGGTTGCTTCGGATAATAAAAAACTTCATCTTTGGGAAATTCATAGCACACTATAGTCACACATTTCACAACACCCCCATGACATTCTTGACATGAGACATTACCAACCTTGAATTCTGCAGCAGCAGTGGCTTCAGATGAAACACAGGACCCCAAAAAGATGCCATGTTGCCAACTGAAGGATTCCAACACCAAAGGAACACCAGCAGGACGACGACCACCAAACAGAATAGCATCAATTTTGACACCTTCAGGATCCTCCCATTTTGGGTCAATAATTGGGCATTGGGAGCAAGGCGAAGCAAACCTGATGAAGAATCCAACAACAATTGAAGAGACAATGAACAATGAAATTCACTCAGAATAAATAACCTTGCATTGGGGTGAGCAGCAGGGGTCTTTGAGCCAGTCTTCCATGGTCTGCCCAGCCAGTCAGTCACCTCCAGGTTGCTCAAGTCAACCTCCTTCTCCAAGCCTTCCCAGAAAACACCACCATCACTGGTAGTTGCCACATTGGTGAAGATACTGTTCTTCTTCAGAGACTCCATAGCATTTGGATTTGTTGCATGCGATGTTCCTGTTGGAGGTGTACATCAGGCATGATAATTCAGAAGAATTTTGTCTACCATAGGTGCTTATTTTTGTCATACCTGGAGCAACTCCAAAGAATCCATTTTCAGGATTAACACCCTTCAAGTTTCCATCAGGGTCAAACTTCATCCAAGCAATGTCATCTCCAACGCATTCCACTTTATAGCCAGGCAGGGATGCATTCATCATTGCCAAGTTTGTCTTGCCACACTGGCTTGGGAAAGCTGCAGCAATGTAATGTTTCTTTCCATTTGGCCTTGTGATACCAACAATCTGTTCAAAGGGAATGTACCAAGATACTGCATGAAGCTCATATAAACCCTTTTTTAACAATGCTCAGCTCACCAGCATATGTTCAGCCATCCATCCTTCATCCCTGGCAATAGTTGAACCAATCCTGAGTGCAAAGCATTTCTTGCCCAACAGGGAGTTGCCACCATAACCAGAGCCAAAGGACACAATTTCCCTCTTACTTGGGATGTGAGCAATCATGACTTTCTCTGGGTTGCATGGCCAATTTGACACAGGGGGCTCAGCCATGGGCAAGGGTTGTCCAACTGAATGCAAGGCCTTGATGAAATCTCCACCATGGTGATCAATCCAGTCCAACACATCATGACCCATGCGAGTCATGATGCGCATGGAGCAAGCAACATAAGCAGAGTCCGTGATTTCAATCCCAACCTTTGCCAATGGTGATCCAAGAACACCCATGCTGAATGGAACAATGTACATCGTTCTTCCTGAAATGAAACATCCATTCCTCAAAATTATTTCACTATACTGTACAGTACACCTTTGTGGTAGGTTGAAAGGTTGTCATGACAAGTAAATGAGTATCAGTAACCTTTCATGCAGCCTGGGAAGCGCTCCTTGATGGCATCACTGAGTTGATTTGGAGACATCCAGTATCCCAGCTTTCCTTCAGTGCCTTCCAGGTGTTCAGGAATGGCTTCTGATCGCTTTACGGTTGAAATTATGGTCTTGCTTTCCACACGGGCAACATCACAGGGATCAGTTCTTGCCAGGATGCTGAAGTAGAACAAGTGGTTGAAATAAAATTCAATTTTGTGCAGGTAAAAATGATGCAAAAAGCACAACTGCCAGTAATTGCGATTTTCCTGATTTTCAGCTCAAACAACTTTTCTACATTCTGTAATAGCTGGTAATGACAGAAAAATCCTTGTTCGGATAGCTGCATATGGGAAATACTCCTCTATAATATGGGGCACTAATTCTCACATTGTTTGTTCAAGGAAAAAGCATGAAACATTTTTGGACAGAGTTTTTTTAAAGCAGGTAATTTTATAGCATTAGCACTGAAAAAAATTTGATAAGAAATATTTTCGGCATAATTCACATTCAAGTCAAGAATGAACACATGAACCTTTTTTTCACATCCACTTAGAAAATGTTTTTCAAGTAAACTGTACTTTCCTTTCATAAGGGCCTATAGTCTACATATAACCCAGTCTAAATACAGAGCTTGCATCTCCAATTTAAGTTTTCTACAATTGCTCACTACAAAATCAAAACAAAGCACTGTTCAGTTGTATTGCCTATACAGGAGAAAAGCCCAGAAAAATGCTCCAGTTCTTGAGGTTTCCATTTTGAATAATAATGTAGAAGCAAGTCATTTTTGAGGCATGCTCAAGATCTAATAATGATCCATATGAGAAATGATATCAATAAAAAGTGAAGAACAGGCAGCAATTTTGATCATATTCATGATATTTTCATGTGCTAGAAACAAAATAAAAAGATTTTATTTCAATTTCATGGACCATATATGAGCAGCGCATGTTTTTGTTGACTTGGATACAATCAAACTACAGTACTTCACTTGATTGAATGAAATTTTGAAAGCGCCTAACTCAAGTTTCAAAATTTTTATCATTCTTTCTAGTAATTCACCCTGATGGTGCCAAAAATTCAATTGAATTTCTAGCCCAAATTGCTACTTTTTAAATTATAATTAAAGCTACTGAATGTCACCATTATTTTTCTTGTCCATACAACTGAAAAGAATTTAGCAAAGTGGATGTTATGCACAGAATGAAAACTTATTTATTATGCTCAAGTCCCCTGCAGGAAAGAAGGAGAAACTTAATCCTAAATTTTAATTTGTCCAGATATATTAGCAAATGCCCAAAAACTGAGCATGCAGAACTTCACAGCTAGCTGTATACTGTAATAGGTTTGTGAAAGTCATGGGTACCAGAATTCCTGAATTACTTTTATTGCTCCGCTGGTGTCAAAAAATACTGAATTTGGGAAGACTTAAAATTTAGGTGCCTCTGGTTTTACTGCTGAAGTTAACATAAGTTTCAGAAAAAATTCTGGATTAAAATATAAAATTCTAAAACTCACTGTGCAGTAGTACACAAATAATGACTCACTCAAAAACTTAAATACAACTAGCATGTTCGAAGGGTTCTTTCTCAGTCATTTGTTCTTGCTGTCTCATGCAAGAGGGAATACACGTATGAAGAAAGGAACATGCACAAAATTAAAAAGGGCATGCTAATGTCTCCCAATTTTACTGTGAAAATCTATAAAACAGGACTTTTACTGGCCGCCCATTTCCGAGTCCTAAACTCCTAATGTAGAATACCTTAAACTGTTTTCTGCATGAAACCCCAGGTTTTTTAAATTTCGTGTTAATTTAAATACTGTATAGAGTGTATAGTATACCAAAAATGCCAAATTACCAAATGCTGTTCTTTAAAATTTACACTAAGCAATTATAAACAAAGCAGTAATCATTTTGCTCATGAGCTTTAGAGCTCTTTCACTGATGGCTATGAAGCCCACCTGCATAATTTTCCTTGTGTGATTCTGTACTATGCAAAATGTATGTGGGTTCTTCTGTAACTGCAGCCAATTTTGGCACCACCTCCAGCTTGTAAGGTTGTGCCAGGAACAACTTTGCCCTATATAGGAGCTATGGCCCCACTTATTCACAACTGAGACTCACCAGTTTTCCAATTTAGGCAGATCAACAACATAACCAGCCTCCTTCATGAATTTCCACAGGGCCTTGTTTTCCTCCTCAGATCCATCACAAAGGTGAACTTTTGCTGGCAAGCACAGGTTAATGGCATCCTCAAGGTAATGTCTCACCTAATGGAACATGAAGAGTTTAAGAAAAATACCTTATTAGCAGGTAATTTTTAACCGTGAAATTTTTTTTGCGAAGATCTTACCTTTGGGTGCAAATCATGAACCTTAGGCAATTCATCCTTCAAGAATTCTTCAGTTGGTATACCCAAGTCATCAAGGTAACTCAATTTGAACAGGTTGCCCAGAGAAGCCTTCGGTGTGATTTTGGCCATCGTGCTTTGACAATCCCAAATTCAAACTCACAAAACAATTACTAGCGCAACACCAGTCAACAGAAGATCTATGCAAATCAGTTTTCAACCTATCAAAAAGAAGAGAAAACAGAATAAGAAATTTAGTCTGCCTTCACATGGATTTGGGCTATCATCACACATTGCCTGCATAGATTTCCAACAAAAAGTTCCACAAATGCCACAATCTTGATTAAATGTTGAGACTCTTGAGAGGCATCATATTTCATTGGAAATTAGACTTTAACTTCATGTCATTAAAAGTAGCAGAAAAAAAACAAACTTAGAACAGAAGGCATTCGGTCAGATGACAATGCCACAGCAACACAAGAGGTAATTTTCTAGATAAGTACCCATCAAGCCACTTTTCTGGTCCATGTTAATGAAATAGGTTATGTTTAAATGGAGATATCTCCAGACATGAATTTTACTTCGAAACTCAGTTTGAATGTTTAGCTATTAGTTGAGAGAAATACGTTCAATGGAGTGAACACAGAATGGCCAACACCTTCCAGAATCCGATCACATTTCTAGAAGCCTTTCAAAGACAAAAATTGGGAGGACACAGACATGGAGCAAACAGATTTCAGTCCACTGGAAAAAATCTTCAACAGCCAAAAAAGGAATGACACACTAATCTTTCAACTCAGGCATGAACAGGAAACAAATAAGTGTCCGCGATTCCTTGAAAAGTAAATTGGATCAGTTGAGTCCTACTCCAGAAGAGTATTTTCTCAACATTTCTCTCATAAGTCTACTGGCGATGCTTCACCTGGATCAGAAACTGAGGAACAGTACTGTATACGCGCCGGAATGCATTCTGTACTCGCCGGTTTCCCGCGCCCAGCAACAGCACCCTTCCGTTTAGAAACCATGCGGCTGGTTCCATTTTTAATCCGTTATCATCTCTCACCAGCAGTTTCCATGCACAAGAGGACATGTTGCCAACTCCCCTATAATGTACCGCGTGGCCTTCCCATTCCTAGAAGGATCATTCATAACTACATTGACAGCAATTACGAGCAGCATATACAGTTATCTGATCCTGAAACATTTTAGCAACAATAATGGCATATTAACCCAAGAACAACGCTGCACGTACGGAACTCAAATACTATACTTAGACTGAATCCATTTTGGCCAGTCTTTCTGGGAGAATAAAAATCGTTAGTTCACAAAGAATCATCCCAGAAAAATATGGCCCAATACTGTACAGTGTACACAAATAAAACACAAATTACGTTGTCATTGACTCTTTCCCACTTGATGAGCTGCTCCTAGCCAATGAACAATGCTTTACTTCTATCCAAAGTTTTTTTCCCACCAAATATGTAATTTTTTATCACAACAAATTAGCAGTTTGACACACACCACACGTGCAAATGTCATAATTCGGATTAGGGCCCTTTTCTTTCTTGCGGATATACGGCATATTACGCATCCCGTTTTGTTCAGCAGAAGCAATAGTACAATACCAGCAAAAACAGCCTTGCTGAGCAGGGAAAAGTGAGTCTCTATGAGCTGGCTGAATCAGTGGGGATAAATAAAATAGAAAAAACTGAAGATTAAACATATACAGTACATAGTTAAAATTTGCATACTTCGCACTATAATGGTTACTAAATGACTTGTAACGTGCCGTTATGACTTTTGCTTCGTTATAGTGTTCTATTCACGACGTCGCCATAAAGTTGAGCTGATAGAGCGGAACGGTTTTAGTCTTTAGGTTAAATGTCGTTTTAGGTGCTATTATTAAAAAAAAAAGACGGGTAAAAGTGAAGTTAGATATCTGTACACCTTAGCCAGTAGCATGCGTGACCAGATTCGTATTTCACTGTTAAAAGAAAGGCAGGGTCTTCGAAAGCACTGCGCTAGGACTGGCTCCGCTGCGACCGGACCACCGAAAGTTTCGCCAAAATATTCCTAACTGCGTCACATGGGTTCAAGCACCTTCCATCACTCCGACAGCGAAGTTGCTGGCGATTCTGGCAGCACACGAGAACATATGACTGCTCCCTCTCTTACACGCAGACAGTGGGGTGGTGCTCTCAGCGTTTCCCTCTCCTGCACACAATGCTGCCCCAGCACATGCGACCATTGCCAAGAAGGGAGTGTGAGCAGACAAACTGGTTCCTATATCCCTGCATGCACTCCCTCCGCGGGGGCGAGCCCATCACACGGTTGGCAAAAACGCTGGCGTCCCTTCAAATCGCACTGACGCGGTCATAGCAATCTTAACGAGTATTATTTGCCTTTCACACCTCTTTCCTATCAAAGTGTTATTTCCTATAATAAATAGTGCAAATTTCGGTGGTTTAGTCTGGTATCCCAGGCTTGCAATGAGGGCTTTGGTCAAATTCATCGCGTTCGACCCTCATGGGAAGGCTTCGATTTGACAGGCAGACTTTCAGGCGGTCATCCAGCACATGGACCAAGAGCGCAGACGTCATGCGTAGTAAGGGGAAGGCATGCATGTATTCCATGTTGCCGGGTCACGTGACAGCAGCTTTCTCAGCTGTTTGCTATGCAGAAGATGACAACAATCTACTGTACAGTATTCAGACGGAATGGAAGAAGCCTGGAAACACCACCGATTACAGTAGGATGCAGTATCCACCATGCTTTATCAGATTTGATCAGGCAAATGTGTTTTCTGAGAATGCCACTAGTAGATTACCAAGGAAACTAGCAAACTGATGGCTATTTTTCTGACCAGAATAAGTGCCATATATTTCAAGTACGCCTCATATCAAATCAAGCCGAGATTACATACATAAGCAGTAAATTATTACTGTTTCTATTCAACATAAACCTTGTAAAAAAAGTTTTGTTATCCTAAATTTGCTGTGCAAATAAAAAGAGTTGGTGAGTCTGAAGAAAATTGTCTTACTGGTATGTCTAACGGGAAGTTTTTCTACCTAAGAGTTAAGAATCTATTGTACAAGTATCTAGAACCTGAACTTATTTACACAAGAGACACAGGAAACGTCCGGTCTTCCTAAAAATCATCGAATTTATTTCCTTGACGGTTCTAGAACGAACTCTCCGTGTGACAATGTATTTCAGTTCACACAGCACAGCAGGCAAAGGTTTGGACACAAATGCTGAAGAGCATTATACAACACATTGGATTTAAAGGCATGCCATGGGCAGCCAGCAGGTTATATGACTTGCTGGCTGGCCCAAAAATAACAGAATACAAACACACATCCACACAAGAGGACAGCTCAGCTCGCTCACCTCAGGTCAGGCCTGAGTTCCACTATTTTGAAGCTTGGGCTTGCTGAAAGAAAAATGGAATGGGAAAAGACAAACCATGCACAGGAAACATTGAGAGAAAAAGAGTCAGCGTATGCTGCTCATAGAAATATTCTGGATCACAAATCACCCCACACAAAAAGAGAAACTAAGCTCCCACCTACAAGTGCATTGAGAGCTCATTAGTTCCATGCAGCACATTTCCATTTGGAAACAAGAAAAAATGCATGAAACATGCATATCAAGACCCTTACTGCTGGTATGTATACCAGCTCAAGATGACAACACTGCTGTTGAGGTGCCATTTTGAGGTTGACTCTCAAGATGTCAACCTCCTCAGATAGGCCTGCACTTTGGTAGGTGATTGATCTGTAGTGATCAGATTGATTTCTTTTAATTCTCTTGTTTCCATGCTATTCTTGTCTTTTCTGAGTTTCAAGTTTCCAGATTAGCCTTTTTAGTAAGTTTGTAGTGGTTTTTTGGCAGTATTCCCATAGTTTTTGCAAGCATTGTACGCATGCGGCGTTATTAGAGATATTGCTGATTTTGTAACTTTGGTTGCAAAAATCAACAAATTTAAGCCTTGCTCCCTTCTTTAAGCATCTGTTTCCTTGTTTGTAGGTATAAAACAAAAAGTTTGTGCAAAAAGATTGCAGAAGAGCCATTGAAAAATCTTGCAATGTGGCTTAACAAGGCAAGTCCCTTGGACAATTTTTGAAATTTGTGGTAAACGTAAGAATTCATTATTTTCCAGTTTGGTTTGCTGTGTTGGTGTCTCCTGAGTGCAAGTCATCCTGTTTTGGGCAGGTGCAGTGTCCAAGATGGCGCCTTTGTCTGCTCAAACATATGTGATGAGGACGTTTCAGACTTGGAGGCTTTTGGCTTCGGAATTGGACTTTGTGGGGCGGGTTTTGGGCCCGAGCTGTGTGCGGTTTCATGGTCTTTTGGTACGTAGTCAGTAGATGTTGCTGGTTGGCCAGTGAAAACAGTTGTTTTTGGGCTTTTTTGTCCCTAGAGCGTTAGGTTGTACACTTGGACTTGTTTTGTCAGGAAGGTCACGGCAGCAATTTGCAGAATTGTTTTGCCCTGGGATTTGTGCGGCCGGGTTGTGGATAAGAATCCTGAAGAGGTTTTTAGGGCCCGCATGTAAAGTACACAGAAAAACGAACCTAACCAACGTATGTTCCGGTGGAAGAACGAGGATAGGTTACGTGTGATAGACCAGTATGAGTCCGAACTATGGGAATTCTTGGAGGGTAAGACGTAGTGGGAGTTACCGGTCTGCATGTTCTCCGGGTTTCAGCAAATCAAGCCCATCACAAAGCCCCCAAAGTGCCAATCAGTGAGGGGATAACGTTTGTTAACGGCACGCCAATGGAGCAACAGCAGGTCACTGCTCTCCTACGGCACTACGCCAAACATATCTTCAAATGGAGCAGCAAGCACAGACTATTTCCACAATACGTCGCATTGCTTCCAACAAATGGGGACGACCCAGAACCAAGCCATTGCATCAGGCTCTTGCCCAATAAACGGCCAGCATTTCAGCACATCATTGACAACTATACACCTGAGCAGGTATCATCAAACCGGCGCAATCAACAGTAAATTCCCCAGCTTTCCTCATGCCAAAAGATGACAACCCCAATGCCCCTGGAATCAAGCAATGGCGCTTAGTCAAGGACTACTGCAAAATAAACAAGGTACTACTGGCCGACCACTACCCTATGCCAGTTATACAGGATATCCTGGACGTGCTGGGACGGCAAAACGCCTACTTCTGCTGCCTGGACCTGCACTTGGGATACCATCACATCCCTATTTCACAAGGCGATCACCACAAGACATAATTTTCCACTTACACAGGACAAATGCAATATATGGTCATGCCGTATGGGCTAAAAACAGGGCCCGCAATCTTCCAGCCCACCATGGAAACAATCCTGCACTCACATCTATACACCAAATGCTTGGTCTACATAGATGAATCATAGTGTTTGGCAACACATTTGAGACAGTACTCAATCCTCTCACAGGTACTAGATACGCTTGCGGCAGCTGGAGCATCGATTGACAGACTCGAGTCAAAATTCCTCACCAAATTAATAACATTCCTTGTGGTGTAACACCTATTTTGTCCCTGTTCTGGGTGACTTCTTGTGTACTTCCGTCAAGTTCGTAAGGACGTTGACCGTTACTGGACGGTCTACGTTGTTAAGGACCCTGACCGGTGTATGGAGGTTCGTCACGTGCCCACACATTTTGCACAGCTTGAGAAAGTCTTGTGACTAAACATTGCAGTAAAGCCGGCAACATCACTTGTCTGGTCACAGGAAGCCAACGACGCCTTTGAGGCACTCAAAACAGCCATTGCTAATGCCGCTTGACTTGAACGGTTTGACCCAGCCTGGGAAACCAAAATTCACTGCAACACATCTGCGTCTGCCATAGGGGCAATACTCAACCAGATTGATCCAGATGGACAACCCCATACCATGGAGTATGCCAGCAGAGTTCTCACTCCGGTGGAAACCAGATACTCAAACACTCAGCAAGAGCTGCTAGCCGCAGTATGGGGAACAACGAAGAAGTTCTGACATTATGTTGAACACCGTCATTTCAAACTGGTCACAGACCACAAAGCGCTCCTTGGCAAACTGTCCAACACATGCCTCATCAGCCTCAAGCTGAAACTAGAGCCATTCAAGTACACCCTTGTACACAGGCCAGGCAAAATGCTCACAGGGCCTGATGACCTCAGCCGCATCCAGCTCACACCATCCAACTTTGAGAAATACCAGATGAAACCAAAAGGCAGCAAATCATCAACAAGTACCACATTGAGATGGGACACCCCAGCTCAAAGCAAACATTTCACCAACTCTGCCAGCGCTTCACCTGGCTAGAGATGCACACGCAGATATTCAAATGCATAGCAGAGTGCAACAAGTGCTTCACATTCAACCCAGCAACAGCAACTGTTGGCACACACCTGGAGGCAATCCCGTCCACAGACAAACACAATTGTTTGGGAGTTGACTTCTGGGGAGTGCGAACAGACCATCAAGTCCCTCACATCCATCCTCACAAAAATGGCCCCAAGTCCAACCACCTGGGACCAAGTACTGCACAATGCAACCATAGCGTACAATCAAATGCCACACTCCACAACAGGGCTGCCCCCCCCCTAGAACTGTGGCATAAAAAGCCAATACCGACACCAGCAGACGTCAAGTTCAATGCCCCCCTGCAGAACATCTCAGCCCAACTACAGGCAGTCCAACACACCGCCCAGCGTTGCCGCAAACAATACATCAAGCAAGCAAATAAGCACAAACTACCACTGTTCACAGCCAGTCAAATGGTAATGCTGCATCCGCAGCTGAAAATCATGGAGAAACACACAGCGCACCGCCGCTTCCTTCCAAAACACTATGGCCCCTTCTAAATCATACAATATTAGGGAAAGGGTGCATACGTATTCGAGACGTCAAAAGGGCCATGCCTGGCAAATGCGTGAGAACTGCAGAGCTACTCCTTCCCGACCGCCCCCCAGCAATGTGCCCAAAAAACCTCTGGCCAGCACCTAATTCCGACTCTTCCTCCCAACAGAACAACAACAATTGCCCTTGCCTCCACCTCACCTACAAGACAGATGACAACAAAGATCAGTTCCCAGGCCAGGCCAATCAATGGAATCCTGACAATCTCCTGAGCAACAACAAGAGCACAAACGACCACAGCAAAAGCCCCAACGTCACAGCCCCTGACACTCAAGCTCCCCGCGGGAGCTCCTCATCACGCGCACATGGCCAGCACCAACGCGCCAGCCAACAGACTGACCCGCATCAGCGCATCCACAAAGCGACGCGCTTGTTCCCCATCTCCAGCAAGGACATTCCACTACCAGAGAGCCCAGAGCCACCCCTGTAGCTGAGACCGGAGCCCAACATCCTGGTAGCAAGAAGCAACAATGGTTCGCCCTGTCACCTTTATCCTCCTCCTCCTCATTGCCCACGGAAGAGGAACAGGACATCAAGCCCCAGGGCGCCACCCTCACGCACCCACTCAACAGACAGGGACCGCTCACAGACAACTAATACCGAAGATCTCTCCAACTGGAGTATTGCAAACACAGATCATTGGCATTGCCCAAAATGACAGCGCCAAGCACCGGCACACTACCGCAACCAGTGGCCTCCTCCCCCTGATTTTCTTGCCAATGACGGCACCTTTCTTTTTCGGGGGGGGGGAGAGTAACAGCCAGACGGCCATTAAGCCTGCACAGAGTTAAACAACACATACTCAAGTGTAACTAACTTCTGACATACTGTATTGCCCAATTGTGGCACGCCTGGCGCAATGGCCCACGTGCCTCCTGTGTGAGGACTTCTGTAGTTATGTGTGCCAAGTGTGCAATAACTCTTACTGAATCATGTCCCAGGACATGAAAATCCAGCCAATATAGCATCACATGGATGCACAATAGAGGAATTAAAAGAACACAAACTGTGGAAATATGGACCACATTGGCTAACAGATAAAAAGAAATGGCCTACACTAACAATACAAATAAACCTAACCACGGAGAAAGAAGACAACAGCAAGGAGTTAGCAATACAAGAGGAAATCAAAACTATTAACACTATATTTACAGGCCTCTTCATGTGGGAAGACATAATTAAACAAATAGCAGCATGGAAACGGTATATTCTATTTATGCCTATCCTAATTGCAGCCGGATTCTTTAAATCTAGAACAAAACAAGAAAAATATTTAATCCCACGTAAAATCACGATGTCAAAACTTGATAATCACCATTGCTCGCAAAATCGTCCACAATTGCTGAAGCCCCAACAATAACCGAACTATTCCCATCATCATCAATATATATTGGCATTGCTCCAGTTAAGAATTCTGAATTTGGACCCACAATACATCCAGGTTGACCACCAACATGACAAAGCTTAGAATCAGCCTCCCATTTCTTCAATACCAACTCGCAAGACCCAAGGATGAACTCCAAATCCCAAAAAGACAGAAACATTACTCCATCTGAATAAGTAAAAATAAGAAATTATAAAAAACTAAAATGAAAACTTAAACCGGATAAGTAAAAAGCAACATACCAATTACGCGTTGAACAAAAGACGTTCCCTCCACAAAATACCGAAGGCCATATCCCAGCCCGGCATTCAAATCAGTTGAATCCATTATCAAAGTCTTCTCAAAAGCCGATTCTAGCGCTTGATCGGCACACAATTGTAAGTTTTTAGCTTGATTCAAACATTCTGTCTCCTTGCTGATCCTTCAAACAAGTACGCCTTTAGTCCCTTTGAGCAGAGCACACTCGGACACTCCTCTCCCATCTCAGTCATACGCGCCCATTATGCACGCAATTCACGCTCAACTCCCTGTAGTTCAGCATTGGCCACGTAATCACTTCGGACAATCTGTATACATAAGAAGCACCATCATATAAACACACAAGACATGATAAATGTGATATATACCAAACCAATCATTCATGCCATCAACTTATTAAAAACATCAAATTCTAAACAGAAAGAATTATGGAGTACCTTCAAAAACTTCTCCAATCGTTCACGCTGCACAGGCGTCAAGGGACCAAATTGTTCTTGACCCAATGATCCTGCAACTGATCCGCTTTGAAGTATTCTTTCAGCCTCAGAAACATCGTCTCAAGACCGCTTCGCCCTCGTGTGGACATTGATCATCTTCATCTTTGCCAGCATATCATGCAAATCATGCAACTCATCTACCAAAATGACAGAATCATCAAAATACGACACTACGAAGAAAAGCCGATAACAACCAACCACAAAGATCTTTCTTTGCACCGTCATCACTCTCATCACGAACACCCGAGGCCATACCACCAACGACACCACCGCCCAAAGCCATTGAATGTTACGAATATGTTGTTTGATCGCACCTTTCAAAGAATCTTTCCTCTTCAACTATTTTCACTTTCACTTTCGGTAATATTCCCAAGTGTTAGCATGTTATTTGCCATCTTTACAGATGCAACAAAATTCTAAATTTTCATTACTGAATACACACATTCCGGATATTGCACATGAGAGCAGAATGCAACTTGACATTTTGACGCAATGTTTTCGATCCTTTGAACTTCGCGATTTGACGAGAAAGCAAACTTACCAAATGTTCTGAATTCACCGACACGGCATCAGCGGAAATCCCTTGTGGAGAAGAACATCCCCGGGAACATTAAGTATCCAGATTATCTTCAACATCACCACTGTTGAAACTTTCTTCGTCTGCTTCATCAGCGGATGCACTGATCGAGTCCGGAGTTTCATGTTCCAGGAGTAAAGCAGAAGCAGGCTTAACGTCCTCAGCGGTTCCCAGCTCATCATTCTTGGAACACTTGGATACAACGCTCTTCTGTTGGGCTGATTGGCGGCGTTGCTCTTTCTTCAGTAATTCTTTAGCACGTCCTTTCGGTTTCCGCCCAAGTTTTTCCAGCTTTTTTTTCTTTGACTGCAACAAATCACTGGGCTCTCCCTCATCTTCATGCTTTGTACCATGGCGGAGAACCTGCAAAAACACTCAATACTTGAATCACCGATTCGATAAGCCTCAAATTTCAAAGATGAAAATAATTCAGGCGATGCTCGTAAGCATGCTTTTTAATTAAACGGTATTCGAATAAAAAGTATGAAATTAAATTTTTTTAAAGCATAAAAGATTCGAACTGCGACTTGTACATGCTACAGGAGGTTACCGATTTAATACGATTAGAAACCACTCGTGATTATGGGCCACATGATGATTTCGGTCAGCAATTGGAAAGCATGTAAGTTATTCTGAAATAATGAACCTAAAATTGAAAATAAGGCTCAACAATATCGTAATTTTCAGAGCCCATCAGAGGATCAAAACAGTTATTCTCATCTGAATTTACTCCGTAAATGGGTTCGTTATTTTTTATGCAGATATAATGTAATCTACAGCACCCCAACACACATGCAAGGCACGTGAATCCATGGGTCCTGCAATCGATTCAACGGACAAGTCTGCACCAGAATTTTAAAGCATCCTTCCCAGACCAAAAACAAGTGTGACCCAGCATATCGTACATCTTTCCAACAATGGCACTTCAAAAATGACCTCTTCCAAATTCTCGAATAAAGCACAAGCGACTAAAGATCATAATGATTGTTTACCTTTTTGTCCAAGATTGGAAGCAAAATGTCGAGGAAACTTCCTATGCTTTGTGAATAATGATAACATTCTTCACACACAATTGTGTTGATGAACACAGAAAACCCAATCGACGACGGTGTTCTGACCGGCACGTCGTCCATAACGCTTCACTTCGGCGTGTGTCCGCTCATCCACTTCATTTTCGGAGTTGTTTTACTTGAGAGTTGAAAGGCATTTAAAATGCCTATCCGATAATGCTGCAAAGGCAAAAGACACTTCTATAGCGCGTCATGAATCTTACAAATGGTCTTCCAAAACTCAGTACTGTAATACTGGGTGAATCCTTTGACACTCCACCCAAGAAAAGGCAATAAATTCCTTGACATGCAAACATATCACTAGGAAATTTTGGTCTGAATGAATAGACGACAGTAATTGGAAGAAAATCCAGTCAATCTCTGGACTATAACCCGTATCTGACACAACGTGTCCCACATTCACCTGTCATTTTTGTCTGGTAGGAAAAGTAAACATTTTAAGAATGTTAATTTTTCTTTCGATTAGTATCAGGCTGAATTTTCCAGGAAGTGCACTAATGCCAAGCCACCAAAAAATATTGGGTCTATAGTAAGAGCGCCTACAACTAAGAATATAAAACACCAGGGTCTGGGAGAATATACACAAGGGGTTTTATTTCGGATTGGTTGGAGCTCTTAACAAAATAGAAAGTCGGTGTCACAACACTCCGTGCGAGTATAAGCTCAATGGAGATTCGGGGTTTCAAAAGAGGAGTTCCTTCTCTGATCGCGGTTAGGACGAGACTGAGCTCTCTGGCTAGCCTGCCGGTTGACATGGCCGGCAGGCGCTTCGAGAGTCGAGGACGCTGTGCGCGCCAAACTGGAGAGTTAGGGAAGGGGGCGGCAACTAGAGGTTGCTGGCCCTTACTCTCCCCCCCCCCCCAGAATGAATGCTGGGGGAGTCGGAGGATGATCATGCATGCATTGTTTGCAAATCAGTTTTTGCGGTCGAAATGGGGTAATACCAAAGGGGGTCTTTAATACAAAAAGTTCGCGCGATTTAGAGGGCGACGTCGGTGATGTCCACTTTGGCTCCCGGCGGGTTGGCGAGGAGTTGATCTTCGTCAAAGATGTCGATAGCTGCAAGGGAGGCGGTTTCTTCAAGCAGGAGTTGGTCTTCTGCGTCGAGGAGGCGCTGGTCGTCACAGTTGAGGTCCATGACAGAGGAGGATTTGGTAGTCGAGCTTCTGACGGCGGGGCTGGGCTGTGCGCCCGAGCATAGGTCGGGCGTGCTGACCCGGTTGCTGGAGGACTCTGTAGAGAGGGCGGAATCGTTTAGTAGGTGCTCTGGAGCAGGTTTGAGATTGTGAGGTTGGGAGGAGGAGGGGGGCATCGCGTGGCCGTTATAGGGTTGCATTTCTCAGGCGTGCAAGATGCAGGGGCCTGTAGGGGTTTTAATAATGTATTTGCCTTGCCCGAGATTTTTGCGGATGGAAAAAGGGCCGAGTCTTTTGGGTAAAAAGCGTTGGTGCGCCGCATGGCGGAGTGTGGTTGGGAGACGTGGGAGAATGGTGATATTTTGACCGATTGAGAAGGGTTTGTACTTTGTGTGGTTAGCGGTTTTACAGAAAGCTTCGCGTTGTTTTTTAATGTGCTCCTGGACATTGGCCAGTTCTTGAGAGATATCCGGTGGCTGAATTTCGAAAGTCACATTGGCAGGGAATGGGATGGAGCGTTTTTTAAAGAGATTGAGAGGGGAGAGGTTGGTGGTGGAATGGGGGGTAAAATTGTAAGAACGTGTAGCTTGTTCGAGAAATTCGTCCCATTGATTGGGTGCTGGAGTGATTTTTGCTATGATTTGGTTGAGGGTTTTGATCGCGCGTTTGCAGCAACCATTACCTTCCGGGTGAGATGGCTGGGCAATGTGTACCTTGATTTGGTTAGCGCGGATGAACCTTTTGTATGCGTGAGAGAAGAAGACTGCGGCGCGGTCTGAATGGATCAGGTCGCAGGTACCAATCTGAGAAAAGACGTCAGAGAGAAATGCGCAGAGAGTATTAGCGTCGGCTTTTTTAACTGGTTTGGATATGATAAATTTTGAAAAGTGGTCAATTGCGATGAGGTCGTAGCGGTTTTGCACAGGGGTGAGGGGGAGCGGTCCCCAAAAGTTGATGGCCAAGCGCTGGTGGCGTTCGGTAGAGAGAATAGGTGAGTTTGGTGCCTGTGGGTTGGGTCTTAAAGTGAAATGCAAGGCAGGCGGGACATTTTTGCACGAAGTTCCAGACGGATTGACGGAGTTTGGGCCAGGAGAAGCGGCATTTGAGAACCTGGTAGAGTTTGCGCCAATTGGCGTGTCCCATTTGGGCATGGTATGTTGAGAGAATGTCTTGGGATGCTGTTGGTGAATCTATCATCTTGAGGGCGTTAAGAGTGATTTGACTGAGTGCGTCGGGTCCCGCAAGGCGGTTGCCGGGTCAATAGATAAACTTGTAATTAAAATACTCTAGTTTGAGGAGGAGTCGTAGTAGGCATGTGTCTTTCAGGTCGCCAAGAAGTGCTTTATGATCCGTAAAGATCTTGAATGGGCGATGTTTGAGATAATGTCTGAATTTTTTAGTGACTGCCCAGACCGCTGCAAGGAGCTCCCTTTGAGTATTTGAATAACAAGTTTCGGGGTCGGTGAGAACACGGCTGGCATATGCGATGATGTGGGTGGTTTTGGTGGTCGCGTTGGATGAGAATAGCACCTAGGCAAGAGGCAGATGCATTGCAGTGAATTTCTGTTGCGGCTTCGGGATCAAACCGTTTGAGGCATGCTGCCTGAGCAATGGCGTCTTTAAGAGCGTGGAAACTTAGCATGGCTTCTGGGGACCAAGTAAGCTTTACTGCTGGTTTTTGAGGGATTGTATTCCGGAGAATTTTTTCGTGGTTTTCAAAGTTGGTCGGGACGTGTTCTCTGAGATAGGTTGCAAGGCCTATGAAGCATTGTAGCTGTTTCGTAGTGTGGGGCAGAGGGAAGTTTTTGATGGCTTCTAGGTGGGATTTGGCCGGGCGAGTACCGGTTTGGTCAATTATGTATCCGAGAAAGTTAATGGACTTTGCGAGGAAGCGAGATTTAGTGATATTGATGACGACACCTGCGTTAGAGAGGGTGTCAAGAACCATTGCGAGGTTTTTTGTGACTTTGTGGAAAGTGGGGCCAAAGACGATGATGTCGTCAAAGTACACCAGACACTTATTGTAAAGGTGATCTTGTAAGATAGTTTCCATTGTGCGTTGGAAGATAGCGGAGCCTGTTTTTAGTCCGTATGGGAGGACGGTATATTGCAATTGGCCAAAGGGGGCGGTGAAAGCAGTTTTTTGACGGTTTGCCTGGGCGAGAGGGATGTGGTGGAAACCTGAGTGGAGGTCTAAAGTGCAGAAGAAAGCGTTTTGATGGCCTAGAGCGTCGAGAAGGTCGTGAATGACAGGCATGGGATAATTATCTGGTTTGAGCAACTTGTTGACTTCGCGATAGTCTTCTACTAGGCGCCACTTTTTCATAGGGGGCGCGTCTGGGTCAGAGCAATTTTTCGGGGTTAAGAAGGCCGGGGAACTGTAGGGCGAGTGGGCTGGCTCGAGAATGCCAGTGGTTTTGTAATTTTCGAGAATGGCGTGGAGCGGATTTTGTTTATCATAACATTGGCGGAAGTGCTTGGCCATTGGGGGGGTTATCTTTGTATGTAGGGAGGTGTGCAACGTATTGGGGGAAGAGGCCGTGACAGCAGCTCCATTGAAAAATGTTATCGTGAAATTGTGTGAGAAGGGCCGTGAGGATGGCGCGTTTGGGTGCAGACCCGTTGACATATGAGATTTGCTTGCCAATAGCGCAAGCTGGTTTTTCTGTGCATGGTTGAATAGCGTGAAAACCGGAAAAGATGAGCGATCCATTGAGCGTGATGACTAAGGGAAGTGTGTTTAACACGTCGCACCCAATGATTATAGGGTAAAACACGTTGGGGAGAACAAAGAAAGTAGCTTGGTAGGGGTGGTTGCGAAAAATAAAAGTGGTTCTTACCTCTTCTGTGATGGGCAAGGAGATGTCCGTTACCGCGACTGCGATCAATGCTGATGCCGGAGAGGTGGGAAGGCGCAGGGTACGGGCTGTATCTGTTGCGATGAAGGACTTGGACGCCCCCGTGTCGTTGAGCGCTGTGCATTTCTGATCTTTGATGAAAATCAGAATAGAATTTGATGGAAATCAGAAGGGGATATGGGAATTGCAATGGCTGCACTTATGGCAAATATAGCAAGTTATGGAATTATTTAGAATTTATCTTGCTAGCTGTGTGGAGGAATTGGCATTATTCATAACAAGTATTCAGTGGATGATGGGTGTAGGAGAAAAATGCAATGGCTGCACTTATGGCAAATATAGCAAGTTATGGAATTATTTAGAATTTATCTTGCTAGCTGTGTGGAGGAATTGGCATTATTCATAACAAATATTCAGTGGATGATGGGTGTAGGAGAAAATACCTAGGAGAAAAAATCCAGCAGAAGTAAATCCTGTGTGGCCCAAAATCTAGAATGCCCAAAAATCTTGCAGGGTCCAAAAATCCAGAAACATGAATTTTTATGTCCAAAATACTTCCTTTTGATAACAAAGTTGGGCAATGGTATGTAAATAATTTCTGACTTAAAAACAAGTCTAAATGCAGTTTGATAGTGATATCTTATTTTCTATTTTAATATTCAATATACAGTGCATGATGAGATGGGAATATTGGAAAAATTATAAAAATTCTAAAGTTTTCAACTGTACAAGATTTTCACCCAAATTGATGCAAGTTTATCACTTCAGAAGGCAAAATTAAGCTCTGAAAATCATTGGGAAACTACACAATTTATATATAAAAAATGCAGGGATGAAGGCACCAGGAGTAAAAAAATGGCCACGCGCATGGACGCGCACAGTGCGTTTCACTGGCATCGCTAAAGGTCAATAGACCCAAAATATTACATTCCTCAAAATTATCAGGAATGATCTCCTCTTTACTGCAGAACGCGATGAAAATATTTCAAAATCTTGCTGCATTTGTACAACAACTGCAACAAAATATTCGAGCACTCATCCTTGACTTAACACATGTGTCGCGAATTTTCTGAAGCACTTCTGCAGAACCAAGCGTATCAAATTTAATCACCAGCCTTGAGCTGACGGAAAGTAATTTTTCACGTCAATGTTTCGAACTTAATCTTCAAAGAGAAAACGCCAAACGGCGCCTTTAGAATTTAAAGTCATAAACAGAGACGAGTTTTGGCAATTTGCCAAAACTCGTCCTTGGATCCTTCCGTGAGAATCGGGTTACTCACCCGTTCTCACAAGAACCGAAAAAACGCCAAACCGCGCCTTTAGAATTTAAAACTCA